GGTAACCTACAACGGCTGCTTGTTGTAATGTCAAGATGTTCAGGAAGTTGGTCAGGAAGATGTGACGTTTCAGACACACACTATTCATAGACAGATCACTCTATGTGTAGATACCGGGGAAGCGAAATAATGGGAAAAGTTTTTGTTTATCTTATGTCTTTTTCCATTGTTTCCCTTTCCTGGCTTAGTAAGAAGTGACCTTACACCTTTGCCTGTCTGTGACAGTATGACTGAAGGCAGGCTTTTTTTTTTCTACTACGCGCACCATGTTTTGTATACACGTCTCAAACCACATCCTCTGATGAAAACAAGGCGGCTGCCTGCAGTTGCTGTTTTGACTAATCCGGCACAGCTGTCGCTACATTGCGGACAGCCATGGTCCAAGTGTATCTGCACAGCATCACACACACACTCATTCACCTTGCGCTCACGGTCGCGGAGTTGTTGGACCAGGAATGGAGCATGTCACGGATGTGGTGTGTTGCTTTCCTCTGCGTCACACCTGTTCCTCTTTGGGGCAGATCAAAGGACTCCTCCGCCTGGCCACTTAGTAGCTTCTGGTTGTGCTTGATTTATAGTTGGGTGGTAAGTGGACACCTCTGTCCTTCTTTAAGGTCAATGGGAAGTGTCTTGTTGACCCACAAAAGAATTGTAGACGTCCTACCCTCCGAGTGACTAGAGGGTGCCTTCCCAGAGCAGCCTTTTAGAGCCCACCAATCACTTAGAAGTTGCACTTCTTGCCAGCGCATGTTATAATTTTATATTAATTACTTAATCACTGCTAGTGTAGAGATTGTGTCAAAATGGCATTTTATAAACTTTGAATCGCTGCCACATTTGTCTGTCTAAGTGGAATGAAATATTTAAATATGTGCATTTGTTGTGTGCAAAGTCTTATTTTCCAGAAAGAAGAGCGATCATTTTCATTTTTGTCTGATTTCTTGTTCTCAATTTCTTGACATCTCCACAGCAAACCAAAAAAGTCAGAGATGCAGACTTGATTTTGATGTACTTATTGAATGCCAGGAGATGAGAAAGTTTAGACAATGCTAGGCTACTGTAATAAAAAGGTTTAGACAATGCTAGGCTACTGTAATAAAATATCTGGTTCTTATTAATTTTACCACATTTCTAATTTTCTTATTTTTATAATAACTAATTTTTACTTAGAAAGTCAACAAAACCTAATTTAACCAGGGCTGTGACTGTATCTTGTGCACTCCTAGTCTAACATAAAAGGACAACTTTTGGTGTTTGCCTGCAAAGGACTTCACCACATCTGCAACAAACTGCTAGGTCTGCCATCAGCAGGAAAGCACTCTTTCTAGGCTATTTGTTTTCTTAGCTGTTGGTCACCTACTGAGAGATTTTTCGCTGGCCTCTTTGTATAAGCCTCAGGAGAGCTCTGTAAAGCTGAAAATGGCACATTATAAAAGCTTTATTCTGAAAGAAATGACTGTTATTACAACAGCCATGTTACTGTAACAGTAATTGAGAAGGCTGCTTGTGCTATTTTCATTTTGCAGATTATTTTTATTGCAGGTGATTTTGCAAGAGCCCTGAACAGCAGTTGATTTCTTTCTTGACCTGCATTTAACAATGCATTTTTTTATAATTGTTGTTTATCAAAAAAAAATAGTCAATATATTAGGAAGTGATGATTATTAGCTAACAGTGGTAGGCAATGAATATGACTTGGTGGCATAGCTAAAGTCTTACTTTCCTACTCTAAAGCTATGACAAGCACCATGATTATGTGACTAATAGTGAGCGAGAAACAGGCTAAGTAAATGTAAAAATGCTATTTGCTTCTTTAAAAAAATTGCACAGCCTTGTAATTCAGTTTTCCCTTGAATTATGAGTCGTTCTATAGTCAGTTTTTAACCTTTAGTAAACTGTGACCTCATTTCTGAATCCTTACCATATGGTCACATGCAGCAATATTAACTCAAGGTCAAAAGCAGCAGTGGCCCCTTAGCAGAAATGTATACAAACTGTGAGATCCACTGTCCAACAACCAGTGCTTTCCTGTCTGAGACAGTACACATTTGAGTGGCCATGGTGAGTCATTTTGAGACTCTTGGCTATGTGCCAGTTTCCCTCATGCATATGGTGTTCTTATAGTCAGCAGCAGTAATAAGCTTGGGAAGGACCCTGGGGTGTAGACAGTGGGGTTGGGAATTGGGATTTGTAACCGTTTTTTGTAACATGCACATTTTAAAACTATTTGTATTTGAATTCGGGCTGTCAAATGATTTAAATAATTAATCATGATTAATCACATTAGTTTGTGTAGTTAATCACAATCAAGCACATTTGTCTTAATTGCTCTAATTTGTATATATTTGAAAAAAGCAGTTCCGTTTGTCATTGCTGTGTGTGTGGACAGAATAAACTTCAGCCTGGAACTACGGATGGTTTAAAATGTGTGCCCTTAATAATGGCCTTAATAAGAATGATATAGTATGTTAACACAAGTTCCAAAATGTACCATTACTTCCCCAGTCCATAGTTTATATATGGAAACTAAGCTGCAAAAACAGTCTGTTGAATTCATTGTTTTTTGATGTCATGAATACATTTACATATATCCATCTATTCAGGCTGCACCAGTTTAGTCCCACTCATTCATGCTGAAGTTATAAGGAGTGTTTCAGCTTGGACTGGTTTTTGAATGAGGACCAATACCAGGCAGTCAGTTAGAAGAGACAGAATTTATGTATGTCGGTCTCTAAGACTCAGTAACAGAAACAGCATGTTTATTACTAAGAGATAAAGAAAGGTTATAAATAGTTATGGAAAAATTAATTGCTGCTGTTTTTGGTACAAAAATGTTGCAAGTGAGACACAATATCAGTTGCTTTTGTCCAGTTATTCTCTGCAGTTCAACACTGCACGCTATTCCAAGATTTACGTAACTTTTTTCATTCCAAACTGTACATACCTTATCCGACTATCTGATTAAGTAGACAACACGTTTGCATATCTGTATATGCATGTATATAACTTGCAATGAGTGCACACTTGAAGTTCCCTTACCTGCAGAATCACAGAGTGAGGGAACTGGATTAAACCAAAAATGTGTGTGTGTGCTTGCATGTGTGTGTATGTCTGTGGTAGAGTCTAGATGACTGTGTCAAAGACAACCACATGGTCACAGTGTTCTGATGAAAGGAGCGATTCTGCCTCAAGCTCTGTTTAGTCTACCATATAATAACACCCTTCAGAGTCGCTGCCATAGTAACATGGCCTTATAATCTGGCCTTCTTTCTTTTTCACGTTTCCGTCGCCTGCCTTGTGTCAGGTGTCCCTTTTCCTTTTGGCTGCTTTTAGGCTGACATGTTTATATGAGAGGAACTTTTCATAGAAAGATGAATGATCAGGCAAATGTATTTATTCGAGTAGGACATTGTGTCCCCAGCATTGTTAATATGGCACCATCATCCTCACAGCCAAACGTGTGGCTTCTTCTCTGGGCATGATGAACGCTGTGAGAAGCACATTTACCACTGTTGTAAAACCCCTTAAGCTGGCCCCCACATCTGTTCCTCACTCTTATAACTACATAATGTGCATATTACATTCATAGTAGTTACTGAATGATTCATAGTACAACAGTTAGTTCTGACAACACAATCTGATAGATTGAGAAGCGTACTGTTATATCTGATAACCATGTTTCTCACCGTGTATCATTCCGCTGCCAACCGTCTGCTGGGTACCAACAATGGTTGCTTTTCTCCAAGCTGGTGAAACTACTTTTCTCAGCGAAAGAAACTGCAAATATTAAAAACAAATATAGTACTGTGCAGACATCTCCCTTTATTGATTTATTTTTAGTAAAAATAGCCATAAAGTACAAGATACCACTTTTTCAAGAGGAATTTCTGAGGAAATTAGATATATTCCACTTGTATATTTGACAATAAGTGGAAAAAAGAGTGTCCAAAACTGAAGTTCAATATTTATTAAAAGATAAAATGGGAAAATTTCCATATCAAACAAAGAAGCTGCTGATGTTCTCAGAGCAATGGACTGTCCACCTCACAGTCTAGACATCAACATCACTGAATGCGTTTAGGTTTACTTGTATTGTGAGAAGCAGAAAATGCAACCAACTTCTAAGACTGAACTTTGGAGGTATGAGTTCTCTGAAAAACTGAAAGTAAGCCTCCTGAAAAGAATGGAAGGTGCAATAGAAATAAAGGTTGGACTCATTAAATACTGAAAATTTTTATAGTATATTTTGTTGTTGAGGCTTTTTTGTAATTATCTGTTTAATGTGTGTTCTCTGCTTTTTTTGCTGATGCTGAAAAATGGATATCTTGTACTTAAAAACAATTTTGACTGGAAATTAAATACATGAAAAGTGGTGTCTTACTTCTGCACAGCACTGTATGTGAAACAATGTTCAGTTTAATCTTTATTTTTTTATTTACTCTGCAAAACATGTATAAAACACTTCCGCTGTTCTGTTGCATAACTGTAATATTTGGTTTATATAGTTCATAAAATGCATCAATTATTGTCTCAGTTATTGCTAAAAGTAAACTAAAAATTAAAGGACTAAATTGTGTTTTATTCAGGTGCACATTTGAATCAAGTAAATTCAGTATATCACTTTTTCAGTGTAGCACCAGGATAATAGGACTAATAACTGAAGAATAAGCCTGGAACTTGAGAAGACAACACAGTTTCAGACGTGCTAGGCTTAACAGACATAAGAATTTGTTCTGTATTAAACTCTATAGAAATCTGTTAGTGCTTTTTCCTGAAAGTTTTTCCTCCTATCCAGCAGTGAAGCACTCTCTTCTCACACAGAAGAGCCTGAGATATGAGACTCTATTTTCAGAATAGATCGATGTCATAAAAGGCTGTGTTTTGAAAGTGTGTGTGATGGTACTCGGGCCTTTTGAACTGCAGGCGCGAAAGACGTGCAGTGCATGACTCGCTGGTGGAGCTTCCTTTTATTAACCATCTCTTCACTCTCTTCTCTCAAGGTCTCATAGAAGAGGAGCTTGGACGGCATGCAAAGTTGTGAAATATCTTCAGACAGCACAGATGATCCTCTTAGTAGCGGCTTACGCAGGCATCAACAACCGCGAATAGTAGTGATCGGTGCGGGCTTGGCCGGCCTAGCAGCCACCAAAAGCCTTTTGGAAAACGGCTTCACCAATGTCACAGTGCTAGAGGCCTCGGACCACATCGGAGGCAGAGTGCTAAGTGTTCAGTTCGGTAAGACAACAAAAGGTTATGCTGTAGCCAGGGGTTCAGTTTGCTAACTTTAGCTTATGTAGCTACAGTGGCTTGCTAGGCTGCAGTCAGTGACTACTCCATGCTCTACCGAACCAACCAGCTAGATAGCTTCAACTTAGGACACTATGAAAGCTTAGTTAAAGGTAGGAGCACCACAAATATCATTCAGAGTTTGGTTACATGGACTTAGTGAGCTCAACTTTTAACACAAAATCACTTAGTCTGTTGATTCTGTGCCTAAACCTTGGGATTTGCTTAACTACAGTGAACCTCCCAATGGGCAATGAATGGGATGCCCTCTGACAAAGCTGAAACATGATTGGTCTTAATGTTTTGTGACACAGCTACAGCGAATATTAGGCCTGTTGCAATTAAATAACTACCTGTCAGATTCATGATGTGTTCTTAAACTGCAGAACTGTTCGCACCTTTGTGCTCTTGGGCGTGTGTTTATTCTGTTCTTGCCTAAGAATGAATCCCAGATAAGAAAACACTGGTGAATGTGAGAATCTTTGTGGGTTTTCAGAAGAAATTTCTCCTTAAAAATGGTTGGTGAATGAGGCCCAGTGTTCCCAGTTTGCTCCAGCCCAGTTTAATTTCTGGCTGCAGCCAAAGACAGATCATCTAAAAATAGCTTTTACATTAGCTCATCTAATAGTCTACTGTGGATTCACAAGCTTTATGCTGATGAGTACCAGGGTAATTATATTAGAGTATGCCATTTAGTACTTCAGTGAAGCTCAATGAAAAATGAATTATTTTAGAATGTTGTTACATCTGTTATTTTGAAGAAGCAGAAATTAAGGTTCTTTTGTCCGTCCCTCCCTAGCTAACTGCTACTGTCTGTCTTTTTTGCTCTCGTCTTTCAGGTAAAGCCACTTTGGAGCTAGGAGCCACCTGGATCCATGGCGCTAACGGGAACCCCGTGTACCACCTGGCTGAGGACAATGGGCTGCTGGAGCACACCACGGAGGAGGAGTGTAGCGTGGGCCGCATCAGCCTCTATGCCAAGAACGGCGTGGCCCACTACCAGACCAACAGCGGAAAGCGCATCCCTAAGGACCTGGTGGAAGAGTTCAGTGACCTGTACAACGAGGTGGGTGAGAGGTGCTGGGGTCTTAGCATGGAAGTGTCTTCCTCCTGCCTGGCTTCTTTCAGAACTGTTCTGTGTAGAGAACAGGCTTCTTTGTTCATTAGCTCACATGGTTCTTATATTGAAACAGCACATAAGTAGTAAAACAAATCATTATTAAATATTGATGAAAAACTGATAACTGACTCACATCGAATACCTCCGAATCTGTTGAAGTCGGAGATTTTCTGGCCACATATTTGTTGAGTCCTAGTGAAATTATAGTGGAGATAAATGATGTACTAAAGATTTCAATGAAGTATCAAGAAAAATGGAAGATGATTCCAGAACTAAGCTAACTAGAAAGGTACATATTCTAAAGTGCTCCACATTTAGTCTGACTTTTCTCCAAATTGCTTTATATGACATTTTATATTTCCATTCACTAATAGGTACTTGTCGAATAAGGGGTTTAGACATTGGTTTTACAGTTCTTGTTGACAGCACACATGAAAAATGTCTTTAATTGTTCTAACATCCATGACTTTTTGGATGTTTCCACTGATGTGGTGAGATGACTGAGTGCACAGACTGATGTGGAGATGTGCTCGTTTTTTCCATTCCATCTGAAGGATTCAAGGCTGCGTACGTGGTACTGTAGTTTATTTCTTTACCATGTGTTTTCTTCATATGGCCCAGTTAGCAGTTACCTAGATACTATATACCTAGATACTATATGTTTGCGTATCAGATTCAGATGAGACGTGAATCAGGAACTGAATGCTCGCACAACGGTGGTACATCGTGTCAATGATGGTACATTCACTGTTCATTATGTCAGTACATTCAGTGTAGTATTGGGTCAATGAAAGTACATTCAGTGTACACTGTGTCAGTGATAGTACATGGAGTGTACACTGTGTCATTAATCATTAGGCATTGTTCAGGATGTACCTACTATATCAGATTGCGACACAAAACCACCTTCAGTGTGTACAGAGGACTGGAAGACTCATACAGGAAGTTGCGACATATGATGTTACATTACTACACAGGCCTGTAAGCAGATGTTCAGTGCTCTCAAAAAGTGATTAGGTGATTCATTGTGGATGACAGTGATGCAGAGGGAATCGCCTGTAAGGCAGTTTTAAAAGTGAGGTCATCTGTGCTTGTGTTCTGCTCGGTGGAAAGATTGCAGACTATGCCTTGTTGATGGAGACTGTACTTTTAGTTTTGCATGTTTATAATTGGTTGGCTTTTATGAAACATACAGCTGTTCATGCCTAAGATGCTTCAGGTTTAAGTAGAGGTTATCTTTATCATGGGTATCACCAGTACATCTATTTAGACCAACTATAGAGAGTGTGCAAACAACAATAATTGTGTAGAAATTGTAAAAATGGGTAATGTTATTTTAGCATTATTTTGATAAATTTTGCTATAACATAACATAAAAATGTCCAGGTATTATGATGATACATTTGAAATATCGCCCATCATTAGGTAGAGATAACAGCAGGAGGAACTGGCCTTAGATCAGAATTAAAACAGCAGAGACATGTTTTCAGTTTGTTTGTCTGATAAGTGTGCATGTCACTAGCTGTAACTTGGCTGGCTCCTGACCCACGGTCTGCTTGGTTTTCCACTTAGCCGATTGCCCAATAAGTCTCGTGATTCCGCTCTCACGCGAGGAGCTTTTCTCCCTCTTGCTCAGAAAAAGAACAAGACTTCCACGCTCAACTTCCAACTGCCAGAGTAAAGTTCACTTTCTGAGCAACTTACCCCACCATGACCCCTCTCTCTTTTTTGCTTCTCTCTTTTTCCTTCTTTCAGACTGTGTTTATCAAGGAACGGTCATGTATTTAATTCTACAGCACTGCCTTGCAAAATCTATAAGGATCTAATTGACAAATTACCCACAAGAGAACATTATGCACTGATGCATTCCATCCATAGTAGCTAATGAACGTCCGTGGTTTGGACAGAACCTTGACTTGATGATGTCAGAGACACTGTGTTAATCATTAACTTATCTCTCTTTCTTTCCTTCCCTTTTTATTCCTTCTTCTTATTCATTGTTTTCTTTTTTCTTTCTTTCATTTAATCAGTCTTCTTTTCTTTAATCCTTTTTTTTCTCATTCTCTCTATTTTTACAGTCTTTTTGTTTTGTCCTCTTTTACCTTTCTTTTTCATTTGTTTCTTTTTTCTTTTTGTTTGTTTTTTTTTTTCAACCCATTCTGTTCCCATGCTTTCTCACTCTGTTTATACATATGTATATTTTTTCTGGCTCCTACAGGTGTATGAGTTGACTCAGGAGTTTTTCCAAAATGGAAAACCAGTGGGTGCCGAGAGTAAGAACAGCGTGGGGATCTTCACGCGGGATCTGGTGCGGAAAAAGATCATGCTGGACCCCGATGACTCAGAGAGCACCAAGAAGCTTAAGCTGTCCATGCTGCAGCAGTACCTCAAGGTATGGATGTCGCATGTGTAAATGTATGTGTGTTTATTATATATACATACACATACATTCACACACAGACACACACACACAGACACACACACATTATTTTCATAGCAAATTGCATGATAAATAGCAAATAACATGATAAACTGGGGATCCCGACCAATCTGGCATCTCTGAACAGGTTGCAGGAATGAGGGGTGCATGAAAGTCTTTTTAACCCTAGTCTTAAAAATGAAAGCAACTTTTTGCTGAACGCTTGACAGTGAACGGGAAAGTGATGAAGGATTTTAAGCCGCTCAGAACTGATTCATACTGGGGCACATGTCAAACTCAAGCCACCCTGGCTTTATGGCCTGGTGCTGTCTGAATTGTTTTCTAACAGCTTACTAGTCAGCACACTCTCATTTATTCTCAATAATAAATACAACTGAGAGCATACTAGCTAGCTAGAAATCTGGAGCAGTAGGTCCATTTATTTGGACTGACCAGGAGTTAAAACCATAAGTCTTGCAAGCTGTGCCAAATCTCAATCTCCTGTGAGTCCGGTGTGCAGAGCTGGCAGCTATGTACTACTGGTGACAAACTACTGCTTAGCTTGTTTCCCTGTAGAGGTGCGTGAATTCAGAAAAACTAGTAAACGTGTCATGTTATTAACTGTTTTAACCATTGACTATTATCGTTCGTTGCAGCCCTATATTATCGGCTGAGATATTCTTTTAACTTACAAACTACTAAACTTTTAAATAAGCTTTTTTGAGTGGAGGCCCTGCACTTAAGGTAAACTACTCAAACACTTTTGTCATTAAATGTTCATAATGCAAAGTAAAGCTCTCAATCAAAAAAGAAAAGAGTTGCAAGGTTTTGACACAGCCTCAAGGTCGTACAAACACCATGTAGGCAGCACAGTCTAGAAAATCCAATGTAGATCCTTCCATGTAGTCGGCAGCAGCTGTAAATGCTTAATATAATAAACATGTGTTCTAATTTTCTAATGGATGTTTAATCCTTTGGGTGTTTAGCTCACAATACATTTGGTGTTTACCTTCCAGTAATAGTTGGAATATTTGCTGTGTTGTTGTAGAAACCTCTTCTTGCTCAAACTTGTTGGTATAAAACAAAGGATTTATAGACTGCTAAAATGTAGCAATAAGGAGATGAGTCTTCCAACAAGCTAAGGCAAAGCCTATTGGGGAACTGGTGAACTCATGTGACCTACTTGTTCTGCGCTAGCTCTCAGAACAGAATGTGGCTGGAGCTTGTTTGGACTGGAAAAGACTGATTTAGTGCAAAATAATGTGATCTCCTGCTGTGTTTTATGTTAATGACATTCTATTGCTCAGTCGCTGGGGCTGACAAGAGATTACTAGTCCCATGCAGAGCCATACGCACTTGCATGTGCATACACAGAATTATTTTCATATCTGTTGACCTACATTTGTATACAAACTACAGTGCAGTGCAAAAGTCAGAAGACCAGCCATCATTTATTTAGTTTTCAGTCAGAATGACTATTAATTAAAATAAATGTTTCATTAATATTTCAGTAGAGAGTAAATATAAGATAATCCACTTGCTTAAAGAAGGTGAAAATAAAATAAATATGAATAAAAAAAGAAAAAAAACAGGAAAAAAGTTCAAAAGATTATTATAAGATACAGAGAAATAGGACTCCTAACAACTGTGCATAACCTGGTAGACCTCGAAAACTGTCAACATCAGTTAAACAGTACTTAAAGGTTTCATCTTTGAGAGATAAAAAAAGAAAATTTGCAAATCAAAGAAGCTGCTGGTGTTCTCAGAACAATGGACTGACCACCCCAGAGTCCAGACCTCAATATCACTGAAAGTGTTTGGGATTGCTTGGATCACAAGAAGCAGTAAATGTAACCAACTTCTAAGACTAAACTGTGGAGGTTTGGAAAAATATTTCTGCAGATTTCTTTGAGAAACTGAAAGCAAATCTACTGAAAAGAATGCAGGCTGTAATGAAGGCAAAGTCTGGACATGGTTAATACCAAAAAATGTGAGGAGACAATGAGTGGCCCAGTGACAGAGGCTGAACAAGGCACAGAAAAGCAACTGCAGTGCTCTACTTTCTCTTTTTACAGCTTTTGTGTGGTATATGACTGTAGACATTTACTTTATGTTGCTGTCATAAGAAACCCTCACATTTCCAAAACCATAACTTTACAGGAGAAGGATAAATGTTCTTATTATCTGTTATAGGATCAAAATTAAAAATTTCACCATCACTTTATCTATTGTAAACATGCTTACTTGCTTCCTTCAGCAAAGCTGCAGTAGTTAGCAGAGTGAGATTTTCTGGTTTGAACACCCTTCCAATTGCAAATCTTGAAGTTGTGAGGAACTTTTGACAAACTACAGCAGCTTTGGCGTGAATTGTTGGAGATGGGCTGTTTTGAAATATGTGTTTTTTTTGGGGGGGGGGTGCCAAATAGCTAATACTGCTAGTAAACCGAGTATCTTCATATAACTGTAGTAATTGTCTTTAAATCACCAGTGCAACGGAGGGAATGGATTACTCAAACAACAAAAATGACTTGTCAGATGAGCAGGACAATAATCTTAAGTAAGCATGTTAGCTACCTGGCTAGATGTCTTACTTCAGTTAGTTTTTTTTCATTGGCTGAAATGGTAAAATCATTGTCTCTTGTTGCATTTTGTGCTTAATAAAGATCTCTGTATTGTTTGATGATGGAGGTAAGAATCTTGCTAATGCTAGCTTCATTGTATATATTAGCCTGTAGGTCAGTGGCTTGGTTGGCAGTCAGGATTGGTTGACACCACAGGGATTCCCAATCTGCATAATGCATTGTTTGTAGTGATGAGCAAAAACATAAAAACAATATAACATTGTGAATACTGTCAAGCCCAGGATGGGGGATACAATACTATACAATACTACAATACTGGTATATGCTGCATAACCTGACAAATAAAACATTAAACTCTAGATTTAGGCTAGAATGTCCCTTCAGTGGAGTAGTTCCTACCTTGAGATGGATGGATCGTGCACTGATGCATTTTGTAATTATTTACATGTTAGTTAAATATAGAGTAGAAAAAAAGAATAAAACTTCTGAGGGTTAAACTCAATGTAGACATTTGCTATTGTTATTAAATGTGTTCACATGTATGTTTTGGCTGTTTCAGGTGGAGAGCTGTGAGAGCAGTTCCCCCAACATGGATGAGGTGTCTCTAAGTGAATTCGGAGAATGGACGGAGATTCCTGGTGCCCATCACGTGATCCCGGCCGGCTTTATCAAAGTCGTGGAGCTGTTGGCCCAGGACATCCCGGCCCGCGTGCTGCATCTGAGCAAACCCGTCCACCGCATCCACTGGAACTACAGCTGTCCTGAGGCCGAAGACAACGCCGGCGGGGCTGACCACAACCAGGACCAGCGCCCGGGGCCGGCTCCGGTGCGCGTGGAGTGTGAGGACGGCGAATTGCTGCCCGCTGACCATGTGATCGTGACTGCCTCGCTGGGTGTGCTCAAGAAGGCCCATGAGACGTTGTTCTCGCCAGGCCTGCCCCTGGACAAGGCACTGGCTGTGCAGAAGCTGGGCATCAGCACCACGGACAAGATCTTCCTGGAGTTCGCTGAGCCCTTCTGGAGCCCCGAGTGCAACAGCATCCAGTTTGTGTGGGAGGACGAGGCACAGCTGGAAAGCCCAGCCTACCCGAATGAGCTCTGGTACCGCAAGATCTGCAGCTTCGATGTGCTCTATCCGCCTGAGCGCTACGGCCACATGCTGAGCGGCTGGATCTGCGGTGACGAGGCACTGCTCATGGAGCGCTGCGACGATGAGACCGTGGCTGAGATCTGCACCGAGCTGCTCCGCAAGTTCACAGGTCAGTGACAGAAGTGTGGGTCAAGCCCAGCTTTAATCAGTCCTGATATTTTGGTTTGCACCTAAAATCAGTCCGATAAGATTCCATCTGAACTCACCATCATCAACCAGAAACTGAAAATAACTCAGCTTGCAGCGTAGCGATTATGATAACCTTAAGCTGATCACTCAAACAAAATTAAATAATCAATATCCTAATTAACAGCTATCCAGAAATACATTTACAGTCCATTTTATTAAACTTATTCCATTAGTCAACGATCTGAAACGATGTCCAAATCTGTCCTAGCCTCTGCGTTAGTGTTGGGAACCATCACAGAATTACTGAAAGAAAAAGTGGGTAAACGTTTTGCATTTCAAAAATGAGAAAGTGAAGAAAGCAAAGAGATAAAGTCCTGGTAGGGGTGGGCAATTAGACAGTATTTTAGCGTTATCATGATAATTTTTGTTATTGTGCTACACAATATGCATTTGTGAGCAGATCATGAACCAAGTACATTTTTCATAAGAAAAAGAGCATAATTAGTCCTGTTTATTGCAGCACAGTATGTGAATCAGTGAATAATAATCAATGTATTCATAGTTTTTATTTTTAAATGTGATACTACTAGCACATTTCGTCTGTGTCACAGTATGGTGATGCGTATTGTGTATCGTGAAAATCTCATGAAGTATCATGATATAGAAATCTTTTCTATATTGTATTGTTTTAGAAACATTTTTGATATCTGTGGCTCATCTCCCTCATTCAGCTCTAGCCACTGCATGACTTTGATAGGTTCTACCACCAGCACACCAGGGTTCACAGGTGAAATAATTTGCCCATTTTGAAGGCACTCTTTTGCTCTGATTTCTACAGTACCGCATGCCACTTCAAATTTTAGGCATAGTGCATTATGATTCCACTCCTAATTTCTGTGCATTACTCACTGGCCTTCATCAACACACAGTGACTTACGAGGAATCATTTGCATTCATTTCACCTCTCCTGGGCCTATGGATAGAGGATATGATGTCACAGTTTACTGCCTGTAGGGCTTTGCCTTTCACTGGAGTGACCTGCCATTTTTGCATTGTGAGTCACATACAGTATGACTGCTACAGCTCTCAGTGGCCATAACTATTCCAATGCCTCTATTCACTGAACGCTATTGAATGCTTGAGGCAGTGCAGCAGAATAAAAAGAAGTATAGAGAACCAGAACAGTGTTCTGTGTATTTGTTCTGTACACATTACGATTACACAACGAACAAGTTATATAAACAAATATGAAGTTAATCATGGAGTATACCTTTAAATCCTTTGTTGCGTAGTGGTGGACTGGTTTAACTCTATTATACCTAACCTCTCTTCAGTGACACATTTAGAGACTTTGGCTTTGTCCCCTTTAAAATCAGCATGTAGAATAGGAGCTTTCTGTGTGCTGGTGTGTTGTCCATCACTAAATGAAAGAAGCACAATGCTGTCTGAATTAATGGATGCACCATGGTCGGTTCTGAGCAAGCGTTCGTACACATTCAGAACAGAATTTTATATTGCTCATTATTGATTTGCTTCATCAGAGTGTGAAGTATAATCCTATTCATATGTTTGCTTGTTCAAAATCATAGTCTGTGATGAAAGTTGCTAATTTCCTTCTTCATTAGCTCATGTTCTTTACATATCAAAGTAAAGTTGACAACACCATTAGGAAGTCGGCTAACAAGAATATACCATTTTTGGCTCAAGATTAACAGGTTAGTGTTGTTTCAGAAAAAAAAACTAATTTGCACCCAAAGTCTATTTCAGATTACTTTAAACACTTGACACAATAAACACGGTCAACTTAATGCATTTGGGGAAAACTACGTAAATAACGTGTTTGACCGTACTATTGCTTTAGGGTACCGGCAAGACAGAATTGTCAAAATTAATTAAAGACATTTTCCGTTCGTGTTGCCTTGTGGAATAACCGTGACCAAGACTGGGCTGGAAAATTGCCCAAAAGAAGTCCTCCATTTTGGTACAGTTAACAAGCTAGCTAGCTAATACAGTATCCCAGATGTCTAGGTATCATGCAGTCTCTCTTTTGTATTTTAGTGGTGTCAGAGTTAACACGTTAATGCGATAAATTATCAATGCCACAACTTTTTTAATACTGTTAATGCATTTTCCTGGTTTGAAACGTATAACCATCCACACTTCCCGATTATAGCCTGGCTGCTTGTGTGCTGTAGTCCTCTCGTTCAAATGTAGATTTTAAATGGAGAGTTTCATTGATAGCATTAATGATAAAACCAGCTAATGTCACAGTGAAATCATCATTGATGAAGTACATCAAATCAAAAGTATCATTTACAAGCAGAACATACTGTGGATGCCAGCAATATCAGTAATGTCACCAACATTCACACAGGAGGACACCTTCAACACAAAGCCACTTCTGCTCTCTATGAATGTCAGTGATGAAAACTGGAAACTATAAACACCTTATTTTCATGTTCACCCTGTGTGCACAGGATTTTATGTTCAGGTTAATATATTCTAATGAAGCTTATTTTGTTCGCTCACAAAGTTAGAAAATACGCTGCTTTTTAAATGGAAAAAAAACTTTAGGGTCCAATTGGAACAAATAGGACAAATGCAATTAATCATGATCAAGTACGTAAATTCATTTGATTAATCATGATTAATTATTTTAATCATTTGACAACTCTATTTATAGCCAATGTGGAAGAAATGTGAAAAGCGTTAAGATTACACACTGCTAAATTTAGCATTTCATTCATTTTGGATGTTCACTACTGCTATACGAAGGGCCGTCCGTTGAAAAATCAGCACAGCCAAAGCAGCAGCACTGTTAAGGATGCAAATCTGAAAGTTAACAAAGTTGAACTTGAAACAAAGTTTTACACGCAAAATTGATTTGTTCCAAAAATCTGCACCAAACGCCCTGAAAACAAAAGCAATCTCACTTGTGAAATCTCACAGACAAAAGCTGATGTGACCAGCCCTTCAGTGAGGCTGGTTGTAATATTTGGACAGCAGTGGCAAAGGTAATGGTGCTTTGAGACTGACCAGAGTTGACAGCAGTGTTTTGCTTGTCATGGCTCATCATGTATTTATAATATTGTTATTTTTATTCATTATATAAATATACTGGCCTTGTTCTGAAACACTTAACTCTACCAATCACTTATTCAGGCTTGAAATTGTTTTGGCTTCTTCTTCAAAGATGGTACTGTCCACACAGTTAGATCTACAGTGTGAAATTGTATGAGAGAAACTTCTGCCGAGCGTGGAGCGCTGGTGCCAGTTATTCCTCAGTCAACAATATACACCTCTCATCTTCCATTAATGTTAGCATTCTTAGAGTTCACACAATCAGATTAAAGGGTCAGCACACACATCCGTTTGCACGCTGCGTGTGAGACTTCATTAGGCAGCAGTGGCTCTGATGTAGGTCAGTCTGTTTTAATCCCTGTTCCTGCCAGGCTCCTGACTGATGGGTACCACCGTCTGTCTTACCTTCTCTTAATTAGAGCTCTGAAACGTGACTGGATCAGCATAACTCACAGAACAGCCTAGTCAGTCCTCTTAGTCAAGACTAAAAACTGTTAACTGTGGTCTTGGTCCAGTTTCCCCGGCCCTAGACCTAAAGCCATGTCATTTTCATGTACTTATCAATGTTAATTACGAAGGTACATGACTAATTGGTAGTTACATTATGATTGCTATTAACATTTGATTCTGTATCATAGAGCTGAGTCTGCACTTTTTTCATTTGTTTCAATTTGAAGAAATAACAAAAACATGCCAAAAATGTGAAGGGTTGATTCTATGAGCAAGTAAGAATTTATGCACAAAAATATCTTTCCATCAAATCATAAACTATTCCCTCCTCTACTTGCAAACACAAATGTGACATTGATTCAATGTTATCTGCACATTCAACAGAATTTATACCTTTATTTCAACAGCTAAACATAAAGAAATCTCAGGTCAAAAACTGGTCTGAGGTCACCCATTTAAACCACTCTACTGCTGAGTAAATTAATGTGGCTGTTAATTTTTGCCTAACTGCTGAGGATGTAACAATTCACAGAATTCATTATTTGATTCGATATGATACTGTGGTGTCTTGATCCAATAGGTTTTTTTCAATACAGCAAAAGTAGAGTGGCTGAAAAGATGCCTTATATTAATAAGTGGGTAATAAGCCATTTTCAGTTTATCAGAGCACTATGAACATTAGATAATAATTGTAATGTTAACATTATAAACAAAAGCTGTGCTTTATAGTATCCCGATCTAATGCTCCAGCTACAAGTAAATGTTGGCCCCAGTCTAACACACTAGCTACCATGCCAGTCACAATCTTATGATCAGATACAATTCAATACAATACAATATAATGCATTGTATTGGTATGTCCCTACTAACTGCTAAAACACAATCCCACACTGCAGTGCTGTGTTAAAACTTCATTCAAGTGCTCACAGAAGTTTGTGTTTACCCAGTTTGCAGTTTAAAGATGTAACTGTTAGCATCAAAAAAAATCAAGGCACTTTTAACCAATAAAAATACAGTAATTATTAATTAATATTTATTTATTTTCTGGGCCTGTAAACATTCACATGTTGAACTGATAATGATTGTTATTAAATGTCATATTGGGCTGCATGCATTGTTTATGCTACAAAGAGATGAGAGCCGGCCTTCCCATATTACAACAGAGCAAAACAGACTTGTCTGACCTGTCCAACCTGTAATTCTGATATGGAGAATCAGTCCAGACAGGAATTCATATCTGCAATAACCTAAAACATTTATTACTGCTTGCACAAGAGAGATGTTATTGCATATTCAAGCCACTTCAGCAGGGTTTGTAAAAAATTCATAGTTACTGTACTGATGCGTGAGTGTGGACAGGCCTTTTTTGGCTGCAGGTTTCTCAGAGAAACTGTCAGCTGTTCTTATTTTTTGGCCGCATTTAGAAAGACACAAGACTTTTGGCAAGGCCACTGTGTTCAGCTAGAAATAGTGGGCGAGAACGAGAGGAAGAGCAGTGTTTGAAAGTGTATATGTGGCGTTCTCTGTCTGAAACTGAGATACTCAAGGACAGACATGTCCAAAAGACAGACAAAAGACACTGTACAGATTGATTAAATCCATTACACGTCCACAAAAGCCCTTAAAACTCACTAGTTGCAGCTAGATATGGCACAATATTAGTTTTTACTTTTCTAAACTGATTTGAAAACCTTGAGTATAGCTGAAACAAATAACAACCCAATACTTTTCTTATTTAAAAATAATTAAGCTTTACGATGGTCATTTAAAGTACCGTGCTAAAACTGCTCAAATACTCTGCTATCCTTCAGGAGGAAAGACATGTTTTCTCTTTTTATGAAATTACTGTCTCAATAAAAATGCAGCAGTTACCATTTCCAGACTAACAGTAAAAATGTCTCAAAATAACTAACAATTTTCATATAATTTCCAGAATATAACGCAAAACATCTGTGTCAAATTCTTTAATATTTCAGGCTAGAATAAATATAAATCTGAATCGGTCTAGCCTGACAGAATCCTATTTGATTTGTTCTTCATTTTTTTCCAATATCTGATCCAGCATTTTCTGCTGGATCTCTAGTTTTAGTTCTTTCTCTAATATCAGTTTATTCTGCCGTTTCATACAGGGAACCAGAACATTCCGAAGCCACGGAGGATCCTGCGCTCGGCATGGGGCAGTAACCCCTACATCAGGGGCTCGTACTCTTTCACCCGCGTGGGCTCCAGTGGAGGAGACGTGGAGCGGCTGGCTGAGCCCCTGCCCTACACCAAGAGCACCAAGGCTCCAGTAAGCAACACTTTCTGCAGCTTAGCTACTGCTGTCACTTCGATACCTTATTCGCAAAGGTGGAGCGAAAATCAGGAGTCTGGGATGAGTTTTCATGTGAGGTGGTTTTTGGGAGGGAACGTCTAGTTCGAAAAACAGCTAAAGTTATCTGGTTATCTGGAACTGTGAGCGACGTTTTCCATTTAGTTTTGTTTAGAAAGAAGAGACCACAGCACATCCTCACAGCTTACTAGTTACTACTCTTTAAGAAAGGATTCCATGCATTATGATCTCAAATTTAATTTAGTACAATTAAGGAAAAAAAAAATCAAGTTTCTCTGCTTGTTTTTAATGAACTCTCAGTGAAAAAATCTAAATGCTTATCGCAAGTGACAACTGCAACTTTAAATAATATATAATTTAATATAAGATATTCTTAACTCCCTGTTTGGTCCTTTAACTCTGGATTCTATCTTATTTTTCCACAAACTCAGCTTGTCAGAGTCAGTGACCTACTGGCATGCTGCAGGGGCGAGGGGTTCTGTTGATGTTTATAAGTAGCTCACTGAGTAGAGCACTGTTGACAGACACCACTCAGTGTTTTTTAAATGTGTCCAGTCTGTGGAACTCGGCTTTGGCCAGCAGAGACTGTAACCGGACTACTGAGACGAAGGCAGACTAGGGATGGCTCGCTCTCACTCTCTCTCTCGCTGGCCCAGCTGCAGGTCAACACTTGCGTCATAATACTCATCCCAACTAAATCCCATACCCATCCATTGGTGACATTAAAAGGTTTTACACAATAAACAAATGCCACCATCAGGCCAAACAGCGATGAAAGATACAAAATTATACACTATATGGACAAAAGTACTGGGACACCTACACATTATACCTACAGGAGCTTTTATGACATTCCATTCTAAATCTATAGGCATTAATATGAAGTTGGCCCCCCTTTGCAGCTGTAACAGCTTCCACTCTTCTGGGAAGCTTTCTACAAGATTTTGGAGTGTGTCTGTGGGAATTTTTGTCTATTCATCCAGAAGAGCACTTGTGAGGTCAGACATTGATGTTAGACAAGAGGGCCTGGTTTCGCAACCTCCGTTCTAGTTCATCCCAAACATGTTTGATGGGGTAGAGGTCAAGGCTCGGTGTGAGCCAGGCCAGTTCTTCCACACCAAACTCACCTAGCCATGCCTTTATGGAAATTGCTTTGTGCACTGGGGCTCAGTCATGTTGGAACAGAAAAGGCCTTCCCCAAACTATTCCCACAAAGTTAAAGCATACAACTGTCCAAAATATGAAGCATTAAGATTTCCCTTCACTGGAACTAAGGGTCCTATGCTAACTCCTGAAAAACAACCCCATAGCATCATCCCTCCTCCACCAACCTTTACAGTTGGCACAATGCAGTCAGGCAGGTAATGTTCTCCTGGCATTCGCCAAACCCAGACTCGTCCATCAGACTGCCAGATAGAGAAGCGTGATTCGTCACTCCACAGAATACATTTCCACTGCTCCAGAGTCCAGTGGTGACATGCTTTACGCCACTCCATCCGACACTCGGCATAGGCTTGTGTGCAGCTGGTCAGGCATGAAAACCCATTTTGTGAAGCTCCTGACATGCAGTTCTTTTGCTGATGTTGGTTCAAGAGGTAATTTGGAACTCTTTAGAGAGTGATTCAACATAGGATAGGCACTGTGCGCTTCAGCACTCGGCAGCCCCACTCTGTGAGTTTGCATATCAAGATCTCGCTCCTGCCACATGCCATCATTAACGGAACAGTTTTCCATTTGTGATGTTTATGTTTATTGTATGTGTTCCACTGATGTTACACAAATCTATGCATAATTTGCTACATTCTGAGTTGTTTTTGGGGACGGGGGGACACTTCTTTCAGCCATGCTAACTTACATTATATCTGTGGGCTAACAATAGGTTTTTTGTCCATCTGACAGTATTAATGAGCACACCATCACTCCCTACTTTGAGCTCCTCCTTCACAGGGAGATGGATAGGTTTAGTTTGGTGGATTGGTGGTTTGTTTCCCACCTAATACGTTTAAGTTCCCACCAGCATTTAACCCAAAGTTATAGTTGCCCCCAGATATTCTCATTCTGATGTATGGCACCCCACAAGTCTAATAGGGATCTTGCCACTAATCAGCAGCATAGTGCAGTATTTGCAGGTTTTGACGGGTCACAAAAACCCCTGACAATTGTTCATTAAAAACAGTAATAAACATATCATAGTACTTAAATTGTGAGACATTAATTTATTAGTGACAACTATATTTGGCATGTGAAAGCTCTTGTGGTGAGTCAAAGTGCTGTTCATGGCTCTCTGATGCTGGGCCTCCTCCTCATCCTTATTTTTTTGCACTCAAAAATACACAAATTACAGGATTGAAAGGAACAGTCTGACCCCACAAAATTACCCCAGGAAAAGACAGCCTAGACAGAATTCATGCTGAAAATAGCCACCTGCCTCTAGGCTCTAATAATCTGGAACATTGTTGAGTCAGGCTAACTTCTATTGTACAGAGTCGAGGTAGGCTAATTTTTTGTTTGTAGTTGCGGCCAAAACTCAGTGCCTTTTTCTGGCAAGAATGGACTTATCCTAGCAGCATGTAAATACATCAATTTAGAATGCCTACGAGTCTTTGTTTTAGACTCAGGACTACATTTGCATTCATATGAAATGCCATTAGGCCATTTAGTCTCTAAAAGTGCCTGCAAGGTGCTGTAAATTAAATTAAATTAAACTTGATTCACATTGCCCTTGTTTTCCTTTTGAGGCTCTGCCTTCCAAAACGTCTTTGCATAGGCCTGCATAACTGTGTTATAGAGTCAGAAACCACATATGTCTGAGATTGCCTAAGAACTCTATGCGGTTTGAGGCAGATGTGTGATGCTTTAGGCATGCAGTCTGCATGATGCTTATTGGTAGGGTATAAACTCCATTACTTGTTAGCTACTTCAGGGGAAAAATGTGCAAATTCTATTTTTGCCTCAACAATCACTTTAACACAATTTCTTTTTTTTTCCCCCTTTTTTGTTTACAGCCTTTACAGGTGCTGTTTGCTGGCGAAGCCACACACAGGAAATACTATTCCACTACTCATGGTGCTTTGCTTTCAGGTCAGAGGGAGGCAAACCGGCTGATTGAGCTGTACCATGACCTCTTCAATGCAGAAACCACAAAGCCTAACATGTAAAACAAAAAATTTAAAATAAAAATGAAAGAACCACTAACTAGTGATAAAAGTCTGTGTTTTATGCTATCTGTATTCTAAATGATTAAACGTATGAAAAACTAGTAGGGGCATTACACCAATAACTAAAAAAAGAAATCTGTTTTTACTGTATGTAGATTATTTAGATATCACTTGAGATGTACTGTACAAGGCTGCGAAGTGTGCAGCCATCTCTTGTTCTTATCTTTCTCTGATTGTTTGTTTTTTTTAATCAATAAGTTATATGTTTATAACACGTCTGTAATTTAACTTTTTGTAAGTGCCTTCTGTATTTAATGGTGACATTTAAAAATGAAACAAAAACAAGTGTCAATGAATAAAGTGTATATTAATGTGAAAAAGAACAGCATGTACTTCTTTCTTTTCGATTTTCAGTTCCTTTTATGTTTCTCCTATGGTGATAGCCGTATGTAACTGAATTACAGAGAAATAGTCAATTCCGCTACAACTGAAAATTATATAAATAAACAAGCAGCACTAAACAAAGGTTACGGGATATTAATAAATAATACATCAATACATGCAAAAAATAGAGTAATATTGGTAAAGAAACTATACATTAAAATGTTAAAATGTTTTCATAATTCATCTCAACAAAACCTTTACTGTTTAAAATTTCCCAGTTTGACAGAATATTGGCTTTACATCTCGTCTCTTTAAGAAGATACAGTCATGTTTACTTTATGCTTTGGAGAGAAACGCTGAAAGCTTTGACTTTTGGAAAGCCTGTAACTGTAATCTGTCAGCGTTGTGTACTCCTGTCATTGTTTTTCAGTCATTGTCCATGACATTCTGGTGTTTTATCACCTCCAGTGCAGGTTTTAACTTCTTGAAGTGTTCAGTGCAGGACTGAAAAGATAAAGTCGATATTTAATGTGTTGGCGCCCCCTTGTGGTTGTAGAGAGAAAATGCATTCTAAACAAGTGCATTCAACAAAAGTACTGAAATGATATCGGCTTTAGCTAGTGTAAAGATACTTAGTTAAGAAAAATTGCTTATGATATTTTTTTCTTCTTCTCAGTTTCTGGCAACAGTATTTTAAAATATGTATTTATTCTTGCAATAATATATATAACAGATAAATGACTAACATCTCAAAATATTGATTTGCTATGTCAAAATTACTAAATCAAAATAAAGCCTTAGTATTTCACCATAATTTAATTATTAATACAATTATTTGTTTGAAATATAATTACTCATTATTTCAGGTCAATATTTTGAGAAAACAAGTCATTATTTTGTGATAATAAGTGATATTAATACGAAGCAATCTGTTCTTTAGTCTTTTTCCTACTTTACTTGGCAAGAATGGGTTTCCACATAAATGTGTACAAAGGGTCTACCTAAGTAACATATACTACATCTGCACAGTTCAGTACACACACACACACACACACACACACACACACAGTTTCTAAGCTGCTTATCCTTCAGCAGTTTATTGGGCAAGAAGCAAGAAAACACCTTGGACAGGTCGCCAGTCCATTGCAGGGCACAGTTCAGTACAGAACAGGCAAAACCCCTCAGGAGTGAATAGTCATACACAAACTGTACATATTGCAACTTAGTACATAACAAAAACAACCACGATAAGCAAACTAAAACTGCCCAAAAACACACAATGCCCCCTCTACAGCAACAATGTCAGTGAACAAAGGAAGAATTAATCGCCAGTACCAAAACAGGTGAAAAAAATCACACCCTACCACTAGAAGTACACTGCCCCATCCAAAAGATTATTCATCCTCTCTCTCTCTCTCTCTCTCTCTCTCTCTATATCTATATATATATATATATATTATTATTATATTTTTGTAAGTGCCTTCTATATACTATATTAAATATATTATTATATATTTAATACAGGGCCCTAGCAATCTCTGCCTCTTTATGTTGTTTGTATGGGAAACTTGTACTCTCATTGCTGAAGGCATACCAAGTAATGTACAAACACAAAACAAACTATGATGTGTGCTTGTTTAGTTAAGGTACATTTGCAGGTATTTACTTCATAGAATAGCTTCCTCGCGTGAAAAGGAACAACAGTGTTGTCACTATGGTAATGGCTACATGGCTGCATGCTGCTGTTAGAAATTTACTGTTGCTGTTTACATCAATTCTTCCATGAGACATGACAAAGAACATGTAAATGCAGCATAAGCGCATGGGTGCAAGCCATGGTCTCCTGAGGGGTATTCCATGAAGTCAGCTGATAAAAATGCTCCAGTTGACTCCAGGCTCAGTGGGCTCCACTAACAAAATCCAGGTGAGATGTGTTCTTGCTAACACAAACTGCAGTTCAGTGATCAGAGCTCACACATGTGCATGTGATATTTAAGAAGCTCAGAGACTCAAGTTCAGATTAAGTGACAGCTTAAAAGATCTCCATACACTTTGTGTCATAAAACTCTCTGCTGTCTTGGGTACGCTGCTCTCAACCCACAGAACTGGAGAATTCATTTATGATTACACTAAATAATTAATAAATCATTTTAAGTCGCAATATTTAATACAAAACTATTATATCTATTCACTCCTTTGAAATGATGGCATTAAAAGTAGCATGTAGAAAATACACATGGCAGCAGGTGAGGGTGAAACATAAAGAAAACTCCAAAATGGTACAATGTAAAGCTAAATTGTTCTTTTGTACAGAGTATTAAATAGATATGGATAGAAAATCCCTGCTACCATAATGTACCTGATTTCAGAAAAGAAGCACCACTGGATCAGAAATGGAGATGCCCCATTAGTCAGAGGTCCTGACTCACCCGATGCTTCTGGGGATACACACTCAGAGTTTTGTAAATGCTGTAATTATCCAAAAACTGTATTCTAGTATCAAATTCTCCAAAGAGCCTGTAGCGTTCAGCAATACTAATTATCCTCTGATAACCCAGGACTATCCAGAACCAGCAAGAGGAAGCAGACGTTCACATTAAAAAAATATCTGCTCCAAGAAATTAGTGTGTAACTGAAAATTAGAAAGTTGAAGCTGAAAATTAAGAAAATTTCATAAGAGCAGAAAATGAGCAGAATATGAGGCTTTATTCCTTCCACACAGTGAACAAAATTACTAATAAACACTTTTTAATGAATTGGTGTATTTTCTATTTTATAAGTGTACATTGATGTCAGGGAGTGAATCAATGTCCCTCACAACTCCACCATCCATGTGATTTTTAAAAAATCTCTCTGCATTATTATCCACATTATGTAAATATGCACAGGCTGTGGCTCAAGCTCTTTGTGGCGTGATTAAGAGATGCTGGTTTTGATTAAATCTGGACATTAAGTGATTAAGCTCAGGTTCCGAATTGGGTGTGTGCAGAAACACATTACTAATTCCTCCCAGTAGGCCAGAGAATACACACCCGAGAGTAAGCATTACACTTACATTTACAGAGGCAATAATAGCTTATATTTTGTGGGTCTCTGATTTAAAATCAACTTTTCTGCAGTTAAATAGTTTATGAAGTTTTATATCTTCTCCATATTAGTCTACCTTTTCATACCAAGAACTAACGAGAATTGAACAGCTTCTAAACCTTTTGAGTTACTCATACTAAATTAAATTAAATACTCTTTTGTATACGGCTTTTTAACCGTATGCTATTTTTAGACATAACATCTCAGTGACAAGCTCACATTCAGCGATGGTGGTGGCACCTTGATTGGGAACTATGAATGCCTCAGACCATTTGGTGACATAGTCGATGATGTAGGCAATGATATAACAGTTACCAGCCTCAGTGTTTGGGAAGGCTTTCAATGCCTACAATATTTTATTCATACGGAATGAATTGGATTTAAAGCACTATATTGTCAGTGGTGGCATGGTGATCTTATGCTCATGTGTGGCTGATCCAGAACACCCTATTCTATTGGTTACGCTTTTCTATGTAAATTGTATATTATACACTGTGTGTGTGTGTGTGTGTAACTGCCCACCTTATAGTACCTAAATTCAGCAATTAGATAGAGTGCCTGGATGTGTTTGGATGTGTACTGTACATGTGGTCTATATTTCACTTAAAATACTTGTCTCAGTTCAACAACCGTGTAAACTTTTGTACTTCCGCTCTAGTTTTATCTCCAGAAGAGGGCTTGAGATGAACGGGCCTGCTAGTAGTTCTGAAACTACTAGCAGTATCCCTGCATCTGGCTTTTAACAAACAGGCCTGCTTCTGAGGCAGAAGCTACTGATCCCACATCCTTGCCACACGATCATTTGTCTCTCTCACTGTCATGCTGTTCAGTACAATTTCTTTTGCACTGACAAAAGCAAGAAGCGTCCTCTGGTCTGTTGGCCTGGACGCATAGAGGGACCAACATGCATTCCCACGGTCCATAGCTGGCCTAGTGCTGCCCATGTGAGGAGAGCTTCCCTTTTTTTAGCCTCTGCACCATGTGAACCTTCTCTCTTGACCAAAATCCAGTGTCAACAACACTAATTTCTCAATAAAAAGGAATATTTTGGAAAGTAAAGTCTGACATGTTCTCACATTAGCTATCCATGCAGGTAAAGCAAATAAGGTAAAGCACATAACTGTTACTGAGTATAGGATAGCTACAAGTTTTTACTGGCTTTTTATTGTTAAAATTTACTACAGGTATATTTCACAAAGCACTATTTCCCACTAAGCTGGATAACCTAAGCCAAAAGTAAGGCCTGTCCAATAACATTTCTGACTTACTCTCACAAGGCTTGATTTCTGGCTTTAAGTGATGGTTAGGCCAAAATGAGTGAGTAATACAGTAAAAAATAACGTTATAAAAGGGATTTTTACAATACATTATATATGATAATATATTTTTTTTTTCTGGGATGGACAAAATACACCTGGAATGCACAAAATGCACCAGCAAAAATGTAGTGCACCTGTTTAAACACTGACATTTTTTGTTCAAAGCCAAAATGAACTGCTTAAAAAGCAACAGAAAGAAAGAACAGAAATCAATACATGCAGTTGTTCAGTAACCCATGATATAATCAGGAAGGTACAAGTAGTACTCATTAAGAAGTTATTTTTCAGCACATATTTCTGAGAACATTAGATATGAGACAATCCATGCGCATTAGGACATTTCCAAAAAAGGAGTTTGAAAAAATTATTAAAAGATGTAGAGAAAAGACAACCAAAACTAATCAGATAAATCAGATAAACAGCACTTAAACTTTCATAAACTTTCATCTTTGAGACAGATGAGAAAATCAAGCTCCACTCTTACTTCAGATCTGAAAAAATCCACAGGTGTTTCTGTCCATCCTTCCACTATGAGAAGACAACTCAACACTATGAGTCTGAAAGGATGTGTAGCTGTAAAGAAGCTCTCACTG